ACACACACTCGGACAACTCAACTCTAAAAAGTCCCATATCTGATCAGAGACTGCCACCCAGGACACACACACTCGGACAACTCAACTCTAAAAAGTCCCATATCTGATCAGAGACTGCCATCCAGGACACACACACTCGGACAACTCAACTCTAAAAAGACCCATATCTGATCAGAGACTGCCATCCAGAACACACACACTCGGACAACTCAACTCTAAAAAGACCAGTAACCACACTGAAAATGGGCAGAGGGTGTAAGTAAGTAAATAAGATGAACAAATGGTCAACATGCACATGGAAACATGCTCAAAATCACTACCCACCAGAGAAGTGCACATCAGAACAGTAAGATACAGTTCCTTATCTACCAGCGGCTACAACCAGAGACTGGCAGTATACAAGTCTGGGCAAGAAAATGAAAACACCGGGACCTCGTGGGGTAATGGAGCACTTTCAGCAATGGAAGAGTGACACGCGGAGTGATGCCACGCCAGGCACGGATGCCGCGACCGCCTCCTACGAAAGTTCACAACAGACACGTGTGCAAAGACAGAGTGGCCCAGGGCTGCCTAGTGAAGGAGTGTTGAGGAGCGATGGCTAAAAGGATTCTACTCTGGGGTGATGAAAATGTCGAGTTACAGAGTGGGCGGTTGCCACGCTGTGAATAAACACCGCGCGACAGCACGATCTAAACGGTGAACTTCGCGGTTTGCGACTTTTATCTCAGCAGAACTGCTATTAAAGAGTACCACGGCATCCTCTCCTATCAAAAGTAGAGCCTTTGGGGCTAGGTGGCTCCGGGGAAACGCAGGAGGTGCTGGGTCTGCATCCAGGGAGCCCTCCGCGCGGCACTCGCGGATGCACCACGGGAGGCTGGGCGGGCCTGGGCGGGTCACGGCATGGGAGTGCTGTTTGAAGTGCCTGTGTCTCTCTTTCATAAAGAAAGGAAACATTTTAAAGAAAAGAACTTTTAAGCACAAATATTTTTAAAAAATTATTCTTGAAGAAAAGGAAGTCCAAAGATGAAGGGTTATTTACACATATCAAATTTTTCCAAGGAACGTGACACGCTTAATCACGCTGCTTAGCTTCTTTCAAGTCCAACACGCTGTCGATGGTAAAATAGTGCCTCATTTTCTACGGCTGTAACTACAAAGTATTAATGTTTCAGAAATGGTAGTTCAATTTTATTTACTGAGTATCTGAAAATCTGCTTGTTTACTTTAAAAATCACTTGTAGAAGACAAGAATAAGTACGAATCTATGTTTTTGGAACTGTCAAACTATCAAAGCAATGATAACAGTTATAAACCTGCATGAACCTCTAAGCCAACCTACACAAACAGACTCAAACTCTTCTAAAACCTACTGTTTAGATAAATGCCTTTTTTTAAGAAAAGGTTTTTTGCCATAGGGTGTATGCACTCACTGGAGAGAGAGAGGGAGGGAGACAGCAGAGAGAGAATCAGACGGCCACGCCACAATCTCCTCTCCCCCATTCTCCTCTTGGGATTTTGGGCACACACGTATGCACGCCCGGCGGGAGTCTCGAGCTGCCAGGTCCAGGCCTCGAGGTGCAGTGAGCCAGGTGGGGCTAGCGTCTGCACCACCACACCCCTCGCTGGCTCCTAGCTCATGGCCTTCAATCAGGTCAGGCCTCGCTGCCAACACACATCAGAAGGGGATTTCAAAGAACAGCAGCACACCATGAAATTACAGGGGGCATTCTGAACCAGCCCAGACACACCCTCGCTAGCCCCCTTGCGCGCCTTGGAGAAGCGAGTCTACACGCCGTCGTGTCGTCACAAAAGGAACT